CACCTCAAAAACTAGTCTACAACATCCTCCACGATCCAAAAGGTTTATCCATTTTGACACAACTTCGTGTTGGACTAAGCAAGCTGACTTTTTAACAGGGAACCCTTGCCCCCTGTCCAGCAACAATTTTAAACTCCGGAGAGAAATTTCTACAAGGGATTTACCTGTTCTAGGAAGACACCAACCGTCTTGTCGAGTCATTTTTAAGCTTCCTTTCGGGACACCCAGGCCCCTTTTTGGATACCCTCCCTGACAACACCCTTGGGTCTAGATATAATGAATCAATCACAACCCTGGAGAAGCAGAATGTTTAACATGAAACTCAGTAACTTTAAGATCACAGTCTTTTGCGCCTTTGGAGGCCTTGTTCGTAAATCACGCCGCGGCATTGATAGAGGTGTCAATACACGTAACACAGAGAATATCTCTACTCTATGTAACACACCTGTAGCACGTGGATTCATATTTACTGAACGGCATTGAATGGTTGATTGCAAACAACAGGTGTTTCTGCGACATGAATACAAGTGCATACCCAAGATATCTGCTTCGCTGGTGTACATATAATGTGACGCCCTCATTAAACGGTCCAGCGTTTATTCAGCAACAATCAAATAAAATCACGATGGCCATTGAACTAGATAAATCAAGTCAAAGAAATGAGTTTCTTTATTCAATTTTCTCAGGTAATTGCAGTTGGTGGGCAGACGTACCATTTAAAAAACTTCAGATTCTATGTTGCCTAGTATCCTCTGTAACTTTTTTTGGCGAAGATCTGATATCAATGTTGCGCTTATAAACAAAAAGGGACGCGATTCTGAAAAGGGGTTGGCATTAATATGGCTCTCTTTTATTCGCATTACCGGCCAAATTGCAAGGCCAAAATTCTGGCAGGCTCCGAAAATAGGCCGGGCTCACAGCAACAACAATTGCACCCAAATAATGGCCCCCGGCCAGGGGCGGCGCCCGACAAGTTAGGCTCCAACCACAAAGCAAAAAATTTTATGACACTCGTTTTTTACTGTCAGAAGAGGCCCGTTTACCAACAAGGAACGCTAATTTTGCCAATAAGGAAAACCCATAACCAACTTTTGGTTACGTAAAGCCAGTTTCAAAATCATAGGAACACATCCCAAAAAATACATTGCCAAAATATTACCCCCCCCCCTAACATTTTCTCATACAAAATCGATTCTACCGAGAACTGGGGGGACGTGTCCCCCAGCCCTCGGCCAATCGCCTCTTTTCCCTCCCTCTTGTTGCTCGGGGTTATTGGCAGGTGCCCGGCAGGTATCAAACTCAGGCATTCAGGGGTAGTACGACATGCCCGTTCGTTGTTGCATGCCAATTGCTTCCGTGCATTCATCCAAAGGTCGCCACCTCCAAACAAACCACAAAAACAAGAGGACACGTGTGTGCCTTTGTATCGTGGGGATCATATTCGAAATCCGTCAACAAGCTGGCAAAAGAACATTCATGTTTTCTGAGAGCCCTCCTTCCAGTTGATGGTTTGTTTCACGTAATGATGACCGGATCAAAATGGGAATAAACCGCTTAATTCGTGTTTATATCCGCGGGGAAAGTGCGCGGATTCCCCTTTTCTAACATCGGGTGGCCCCACACGTATGTCCTCAGTAGGCTGTTAATATCAAGTTACATTAGTTTTTTGCAAATTATCTTGTGGTGTTTTCTAAAAGGCCTTGCCCTAGCATATTTGTTTAAGCACAGTGATGCAGCTCGAGTCACGCCACACCATGGCCACACTTCCTCCTGCCTTCTCCTGCCTTCTCCCGCCTCACTTCTTCTTACACAGTCATTCGACTGTGTGACAGGTGTATCAGTCTAATTTTCGGGGTAACCAACATTAGGCAGTTTTTTCCCTGGAAACAAACACCGACCATAAAGTTATTGCTCAGTCAAGAAAAGGGCTGATGCACCAAATGCCCAAAATGTTTTTCCTGAGATTAGGGTTTTGTTTATTATAACTGAGGGGCCCCCGCGATCGAATTAACCACTTGATAGAGCACGTTGCTGATAATGATGATGATGATTGTTATGATGAATACAGGGGGAAAGGGAGAGGGAACACTTGTTAGTTGGGGGGGGGACCCAAACTAACACATATCAAAAAATTAAATAAATGAACAGATGTGTTTAAACTGAATATTATAGGAAACATTGACTGTGAATTACTGTGACTAACTGTGAATTACTGTGGTGCTAAGCAACAAGATTCTGTATTTTGATATTTTTGGGTCTTATCGACACATTCTAACAGATACTTTTGGGTCTGTAAAAATTGTTTTTGGTACTTTTGAGTGAACTTTGATAACTGCAGATGGACCTCCCCGTAAATAAAAAATTTGAGTGACTCCCCCTGGGCTTGAATTACTAGGGTGTATACATTTGAATCGCTAGCAAGTGTGCTCTAGGGGGTATTCAGGCCTCACTTGCCAACAAAGTGAGTGAGACATCCTTTGGCGATAGGCTTGAAAATTCACCGAAAAAGCAGCACCCATAAATGGCAAAAAACTCCTGGTTTTTTAGATGGGATTGTATAAAGGGTTTAACAGTGTTGTTCAAAATCACACTACACAATACCTCAGCTCAGCTTGTTCGCAATTTGCTCTTAACTTTTGACCAAATTTGAGGCTTGTATTGTGATAAAATTGTTCTTATAGAAAAGAATGCATTGCTATTATAAGTGTCATTTTTATGACATTGAATGTGATCGTAATTATGATTATGATGAATACAATGATTTATCAGGTAATATCAAGATTATGATTGTTATTATGATAAAGGTGTTGATTATAATAAGGAGTCGACGATAAATTTGCCACTTGCGCACGCTGTACAACACCTGTAATTGCCAAAGTGTTGAACCTGCGATGGCTCTATTCAAAGAAAGCAATGTTTTCGCTATTATCACTTGCTAATGACCACCACTTTCTTTAACTGTCTACAAATGGCCACCGAGTATCTATTGAAGTATGTGATTCCTTTCAACAAATTTTGAATGGTCAGTTAGTTCAAATGGCGACCCCAGTCAGATAAACCTGGAACAAACGATAAGAGCCAGACAGATTTAAAAGGCCGCGTTTAAAGTGCTCCAAAATATTCTGTTCTAGAGTGGTGTGATGATCGTTCGATGACTCTTTCATTTCTATTTGAGTTCCACCTCTCTTTGTTGTTGGGGAAGCCCCGTCAATTCCTCCTTTGCCACGCCCCCATAAATTTGCGAGACCGTCCTTAATGCATTCTGTTACCTGTTATATAAAATTTAAAACAATGGAAAAATGACACGAAAGTGTGGCAATGGGGCCGATTTGCACGGAGATTTTCCGGTTGTTTGTTTGGTTTCTAAGTAGCTGCCTAAATAACGAAAATGAAACGCAATCATTACACTGCATTACTGTTCATGCGCCTTACACAACATAGTGAAACCTTCTGTTTACATCCCGAGCACTAATGTTTTCCGTTTGTTTTGATTTGACACGATAACAGAGGGCCACTATAAGGCCAACAATAGGAGGGCCGATGACCGCCGATGCCCACTACAGAGAATCACGCCTATTTCTTGGCATGCTGCCCGAATGGGGATGCCATCAAGAGAATTCGTGTGTTGATCAAATTGTCATACAACTTGAGTAAGATCAAGTAGGCGTGGAATAGTGATGTAGTTTGGAACCTCTTGATTTCGAAGTCAAGCAGGCAAAATCTTTGAAAACATTAAAAGATTCTAATTTTTGTTTTTGATATTTTAACATTTTCAGCATTTCAGTAAGAGCTTGTATATTTTAGCATTAAATTTTAAATTGTTATATTATTTATTTACTTGCAAAAACCTCTTAACAAAGCCCTCTAAAATGCAGTCCCTTTGAACTGATGGGGTGGCCACAATTATGGAAGTTCAAATGATGTTGAAAAATTAAATGAAATAGAAAAAATGATTAAAAGGATGAAAAATTTCATTACATTTCTAGTTCCTGATTTAGAAAAGCTTGATGTTCTGGTTTAAATAAATTCAATCAAAGTTGAATAAAGCGTTTATCATTGAGTAGATTACGTTTGTCAAAAATCCTTTGACAATTAAAAAGGGGTGTAGCCCACAGGACAACAAAAACCCCAAAATACCAGCCTCTCAATCCTATCCCAATATCTTAAATGACATGCTCAAACTAACACAGCCTCTATATTTATCAATTTTATTATAATTTGCCTCAAATTGGAAAAATTTGATGAAAATCTCGACAGCCGTTTCTAAACTGCGTCACGGAATAAACATATGATCAATAACCATTTTCTTCTTTTTCATCAAAGTTCGTGAGCCGGTTACGTGTTGTACCAATACACGTGCCTATTGTCCTTCAGTATTGTTTCTGTGAGAGAATTCCCTCACTGCAATGATTTGATTGGATGACCGTTGAGGGAATCACCAAGCAGGCTTGCTTTTCCATGACGCAATCCTTCTTGTTTAGTACCCGCCCACCGAAGCAGCAGGGCCGGTTGAATTTTTTTATTGTTCTTTCAGACAAAAGTTAGTTCACAATAGAGACATCTGCCGGTAGATGGAACGCATGCTTTATTACTTCTTATTTTCATGCAATGGGCAGATTTGTGATGAGGATATCAAGGGTGGGTTGTTGTTTACCGGAGCCTACGAGAGAAACTTTTTGATTTGTGTGATGAGTTTATCTTGGAATTGAGATAATCTGAGGCGAAGGAAAAGTTCACGACACGCAGCAAACTTTTTGTGGTTTAGCCTGACTCAATTCTGCTTCGATAGAGCAAAATTTACTGAGAGTCAAAGTGGTTTATTTTATGTCAAAGTGTTGGTGGTTCTTCTACGCAGGATTTCTCGTGGGGAAATTTACGGAATCCGCCTTTGCCAACAGATAAAATCACAGGTGAAATTTTTTATTGATTGCTTTCAATAACCGGTTCGTTCGTTACTTGAGTTAGGCCGTTTCTTTAGAATTGCCATGTTGGACAACGAAATGTCGATCGAGTTGGTTAGAAGAGCAAACGACATGGATGTAGACACCGCGGCCCAATGTTTAATTGCCATGTCCAACTCTGGATGTACCAAAAAGGCCGGCCTGGAGGCATCATCGTACGATAAAGCTAGACATGAATCCTCAGACTTAGTTGTTGCCGATTTTCTTGCCAATTTGAAAGAAGGCCGGGAAAAGATTCAGAAATCTTCAGAAGACGGAGAAAGCCCTTGGCTCACTCCTCCTAGAAGCCGTACTGCTTCCCCAACAGAAATGGACGATACCAACGAGACAACGGAACAATTTTTTAGCCTTGATGTTTTGGAAGAAAACAATAAAAGCCGCTCGAAAGTAAAAAGCTCCTCGCATGTGAAAGCGCCTGCCAAATCAAACAATGGCAGGAAACGGGCCGTTGCCTTGAAACAAAGTGACTATGAAAACACTGGCGATGTCAGGCTGGCATGGAAGAAGAAAATGCATATTTGCTGGTACAAGGATTGTGCCAAAGTTTACGGGAAAAGCTCGCATTTGAAAGCACATCTCCGAACTCACACAGGTGAGCGTCCCTTTCACTGTAATTGGACGGACTGCGGTAAGAAATTCGCGCGGTCAGACGAACTTGCACGACATTACCGCACTCATACGGGAGAAAAAAGATACGCGTGCCCAATTTGTGACAAGCGCTTCATGCGAAGTGACCATCTCACCAAACACGCGAAAAGGCACCCAAATTATGATCCGGTGACACGAGGAATAAAGGCCCCGAAATGACTGAGTTACAGCAAGTCATTGTGAGTTTTAAAAACTGAACGTTTTGAATATTCTTAAACGGCGCTTTGTTCAGACGTTTGGCCCGCACGTGTCGTTATCATTTGCGCCAACTTTGGAGATCTCAAGTGGTAAGTAAGTGTTATTTTAAAACGTAATGATTTAAATGCAGTATGCAGTGTCGTATGGGCCATGCTTACCTGTGAAAATACCGATTTTATTCACGAAAAAACCAATCAATGAAAGTAAGAAAAAGCGAAATTTCCTTCTGCGCACCACGGAGAGTAGGAGGGTCCCACCCACTTTTTAGGGCGTCTCCGAAAGCGCGCGCAGAATGCGGGTACTTTGCCGCGTTGATGCTGAACACGTGTTGTAAATATCAGGGGCGTGTCAGTAAAATGGGCGTTTACTTCAAGGATATTCTTTAGTTAGCTTGTATAGTGTTTGGTTTTTGAATTTGGTATAGGACTTTATGGTATATCCCATTTTTTTGGTTTCAATATTTCCTTTTATGAACAAATCTAATCGCCATGCATTTTGTCTCGAATTTCCGCATGGATGTGTCGTTATACAATCTTGAATGTTTCCATTCCTAATTACGACTTTCATAGTAATGTTATGGAACTTGGTTCTGTCATTTGATCAGAAATTAGCTGTTATTTTGAAATAAACTTAGTTTCAAGTCTGGCTATGAAAACCAAAATTTTTTCCTCGGGCAACAAAAACGCCCAGTTTCCGCGCGTCAATGAATGGTGAACCAGAACGGGTTTTTATTCAGCTACTCGTGTTACCGGGGGGAAATTTACCGCAGGTTTTGAGAAACACAAGAATATGTCTGTCTTCAGCCATTTGTGAAAGCCTTTCGGCATTTATGTTTCCCACTGTTGTTAAAAACCGTGAGACACGAGAGCTATAAATCGGTCATTCCCTGGATTGGTTGGCTTAGTTGCAGGTAGGTTGGACTGCACGATTGTAAACAAACGCAAATAAAACAATTATATTGTCACGAAAGCTTTAAAATATTCGCAAGGTTAGAAGGAAGAAAAAAATTTGACCAGAACCTTTTTTCCTATCATGAAGAGCTTTTAGTTTCACATACTAGACTAGAAATGAAACAAAACCGCTCTTTGAGGCAGGTTAATTAATGACATAAAAGGAGAAAATGTTGGTGATTTTTAGAAAGATTAAGTATTATTTTCTTAATTTGATAGTTTCCTGGTCTTTTAAAATCTTTTAATTTGTCCAGCTATAAAAATGAATTACATTTGAAATTGGCGTCGGTTATTATTACAAAAGAGAAACTTCAACAATGGTTGAATCATCTATTTTCTACGAAGGATAGTTCTTGTTATCTTCTCTTTTATCGTAATGAGTGAAAGGATGAATGAATGAGTGAAAAGGTAAATGGTTGTCTTGCTTTCCTTTTGGCGGATAAATGTTAACCTAACTTTCCTTGGGGGCGGTATGATTGCTGGGTAAATGATGGAAAATTCAAGGGCTTTTGAGTTTTGCAGGTTTTTTGTCTACACCATCGTGTAACACACGAGGCATATTTTATTTTACATAATAAAGAAATCCGAAGAGAAAACGCTTTTATTGACAAACGATATCGCGCGGCAAAGCGTCTGGGATCTCGCGTCTCTTTGTAGCGGTTTTCCCATTCTTTATTCCCAGTTACCATAAGGGTCTTTTTAAAACGATTTTATATACTATTTCTATTAAAAATTGGAGAGCCTCTAGGGCTTGGAAGGAAGCTGTCGCGTTTATTCGCATAATTATCGCGGTTTTCACAGGTAGGCACTGGTTGGCAAGTTTGTAAATAAGTTGTATCGTTCAATTGTTTCAGGTTGGCAACTCTGCGGAGACAGCCTCCCGTCTATACCCCAGCGTTCTAATTTTGTATTGCAATCCAACGGGTTATGGCACCACTGTAAATGACAATGCCAACAAAATTTTGGAACTGGAATTCCACTTTTTGTTGGCTGCCGTTGACACAAAACTAAATTCTCAAATTGAAATAGAACAAAAGAATTTTTAATCGGAGGATTAAATGTTTCCAACCACCTCATATTCAGTTGTTTGCAGAAATGAAGCTTCGCGTTTTGCGTGCCATTTCCAAACTAGGCCTAAGTATGAATGAAAATTTTGGTAGCGTGTCAACGAAGTGTGTCATAGCATAAATATTGCAGATCCTTGTGCTTTTCAAATTAATATGTGCCCTTTCAGTCTTCATTAAAGCGGTCATTGTATTGTTATATTTCATATCATGGCCATTATGTATCATTATCATTATATTGTTATTAAATTATTGTTATTTTTATTGTCATATTATATTATGTTGATAGCCGCGCGCCAGATGTATTACCAAACGTAGGCTACCTTCAAAGTTATTTTCTATGTATAAGGAAACTTGCAAATAGAATATAAAGTAAATTTCATATATTTACAAACCTAGCTGTTTTATTGTTTTCTTTCAACGTTCACTAAAACCCAAATATAAGTTTAATGTGTTTATCTTTGTTGTTATATTACTATTTTCGAAGTTAGAACTTAAATTTGGACCATTTTTAATGTGATTAAAAATGTGGTTTTGTTATTCAGTTGAGGATTGAAAGGGTAGTTAATAGTGTTAAAACATATAATATTCGTTAGGACGGTCGATTTTAAATTAGAAGTCGTATTTATCAAAGTCAAATTAACTAAAGTAGAGTTGTAATTGATTTTCCATCGTTTCAAGCGGTGAATTGCGTGTTGCTAGACAATTTATGTGCCGGTTTAATAATAGGTACCTGAGTTGATATCAGGTGTTAATAGATCACTGGACTTTTTTGGCATGGGCCTATTTTAACTAGCTTCCTTGCAGGTGCAATGGTCTTCGGGTTACGTGTTGTTGGTTATGCGGGCATAACATTTTCATTGACTAAGCTGGCTTGCTTGAAATATATGACTTTTTGAGTCGTTTCACAAGCGTCGTCTTGCCCTCTTTCCTCGCCCACAACGCTCTCAGTTAAAAACAACGAGAAAAGATATTTCGTTTCCAAAACACCCGGTTGTTTAACGTCGAACTGTAGATGTCTTTGCCAGTAACCTAACCTCTCGCGTGAGGTGACTGACCTGTGGTCACCACTTGAATAAGGTTTAAGTCTTAGCCAGATCCATTGCAGGCCATATGGATTCTAGGCCTAAGACAACAAGACGACGGCAAAACAATCAACCAAGAATAGTTGTTTGTTGTAAGAATTTACGACACACAAACCCAAGCCATTGCCCGGCGGTTGCTTCAGGCCCAGTGATCCAGGCTTTTGTATACCGTTAATTTCTAATGCGATCTTTCTTTTAATTTTGCTGAAATTGATTATTGTTACTGTCGTATTTTTGTTTTCCATGTTTATTTACGACTTTAAAGGTTTGATATCTTGATTTTAGTTTGTTTCTTTCGTAATTGCATTCATGTAATTAAAATATTTTTCAAAATGTATTCAAAGTTTCGATTGATTTCCTCGAATAGCTTCGTTTTCATGTAAATTCGTATAGATAGATCGTTTTAAAACTATATCATAAAGGTTGACAGTTATTATCAACTGGCATAGTTTATCCTTGGTTGATGCGTTAAATGGGGACAAAGAACAAACACGTGGTGATCCCCCGGGGGTGGGGCGTTTGGGGGCTAGTTTTTCCACATGCAATGAATTTTGTTAAATATTGATAAAGCAATGTGGAGATTTACTATGCATGCTGATCCCTTCCTTAAAATTTCTGATGCCAGTTTCAGGGTTTTTTACGCGCGGCTCCCTCTTTTGCCGCTGTTAAATCACAATTTATTTGTTCTGGATGTTCAAATTCCCGTTATGAAAATGAATGGGAAGCATGGGTTAATTCCTAGATGCTGCAATGCATCATGGTTATGCCCGTACCTTGTCACGTGTTTGTTCCCAGTCCTTGACGTGGACAATGTAAATAGTCTAAATTATTAGCAAGTTCACTTTTTCATAAAGGCAAAATGGAGCGTCGACCTAATTTATCGCAGAATATTGTACGAGCGTACTGAAATATTCAGAATAGTTGCTTCTTTGTTGAACCTGTTGTTTTGTTTGCTTCTTAACTGCTATTTATTGAGAATGGTTTCTTATCTTCATAAAAATTAGGTAAACGGCGACTTTCATTGTTTAATGCAAACATTGCCAATGTGTTCATATTAATTGGAAATAATATGACTGAGACTTGAGGGAGGGGTTATGGAAAGAAATAAAGTTGACTTTTAATGTAACAAACCATGCTTGTAGCTGCGAGAATCTTTTCAGAATTTTTTTTGTTATAGCAAGTATAACCAGCGCACAGTAAACCCCGCAAACCATAAACTCATTTTTTTGGTCATGAGTGTATTTTCGATACTTACCGAATACCACAGAAAAGAATCATCATTACATATTCATTTGCCAATTGTTGGACAATTTTGGGAGGTTTCCGTCACTGCACTCTTCTTTTTATAAGAACTAGATAATTTTTGCCGAGCCTCGATGTTCTTAACTTTTTTAAAATTTTAAGCTCAAATGTTCTTAAAGTTGTTCTTATTTTAAGAGTGATTTTTCGCAAATATTTGAGAAGTTACATACTGTTTTACTGACGTTTTACTGATCTAAGACGTTTTTCTGGGTAAAGTTTAAAATAAAGCAATGACTGCTAGTGTTTATGGACAAACTTGCATAGTTTTGTTCTGTCGACATGACATAAATTTCAAAATGCGAATTGTTTTCTTTAAAATTTCTCATCTGAAGCTGAGCGTGTTCTAGCCTTGTTCTTATTTTCTGGGCAAATCGAGCCTCAGTGTTCTTATAAAGTGTCTCATAAAAAAAGAGTGTGGTCTTTCACTGTAGCTAATTTTGAAGACCGAAAGGACCAACCCCTTGACCACCCTCAACACAAAAGTTTTCATCACAATTCTGGTTCCGTAAAGTTTCACTTTCATATGCCTTCGTGTAGCTTCAGTAAAAAGGAAATATTTC